CAATATTGGTTTTTAGAGCTCACCTGCTTGGTAAGGTTCAAGGTCAGGACTTCTTACCTGGGACGATTCAGTAGGTCTCAGGTAGAGGTAGGACATTTGTGTTTATTTAAAACAGAATTCTTGCCTTTAAACCTGTAGAGTTCTTCAAGCAAGGTCTTAAAATCTATTTTCTTTGAAGTATTAAGATTAGTAAGGTAAATTTTGTGGTAACATTTTGTAGATTACTGATATGAAACCTGAAATAGGTGAATGCTTATAAAGCTAATGCTAGATACTCTAGATCCATTTCATGGGCTTGTAGGCTGTGTTTTGCTGTGAGATTTCCTATAATAGTCAGAAATTCCAGTGACATACTTGCACTAATTTAACATAGACCTCACAATACATTTATAAAGAAATTTCTAGGAAGAAAAAAATGGACCAAAATTCAGAAAACAGAATGTGCTTTCTGTGAATAATGTGTGGTTATTCAAAGTGAATTTTAAGTCCTAAACATTTCTGTCTCTAACATCAAAACCTCAAGGTAAAATTTTCAAAGAAATCAAACAACATTCATTTTGGACCACTTTTCATTTTCAAGTAGTTTGCTCCTATCTATAAGAGCGAAACAGCTGGAAGCACTATATGCATGTGTGTGTACAAGGCATAAAATATTTTGTCTCAAACAAAATTTTTAAGAATTTCACAAATTTTTAATATTTGGTTACTTTAATTCAAATGTATCTTTTCTTTGCTTAGGAAATTTGATGTTATTTTAAACCTATGCTTTACAATTATCAAAAAAAGATTAGGTAATTACTTGATGTCCATAAAGACTCATAGCCTTTAAAAGTCATTTGAGGGGCAGAAGAAATAACTCAGCAATTAAGAGCACTGGCTGCTCTTGCAGAGGACCCAGGTTCGGGTCCCAGTACCCACATGGCAGCTAACAACTGTTCCTAGCTCGAGTTCCAGGGGATCCGAAAACCTCTTCTGATCTCCACGGGCATTGCATGACATGGGTGTACTTACATATGCGCAGGCAATACACTCAAACACATAATTAAAATAAATAAAATATTTTAAAAAGTCATTTTGAATATGTTTTTGAATTAAAAATTTGTTTAAAATTATTCATTTTTGTTTTATGTGTATGAGTGTTATGCTTGCATGTATGTAAATGCATCCATATTATGCAGTGCCAGTGGAGGGCCAAAGATGGCATTGGATCCCCTGAAACTGGAGTTACAGATGATTGTTAGTTACGTGGGAATTGAATCTGGGTCCTCTGCAAGAACAGCAAGTGCTCTTAACTGCTGAGCTAGCTCTCCAGGTCCTTGAATTCTTTGTCAGCTTTGGCACATAACATTGCTGCTTCTAGTTCTCATACAAACTTGGGAGAATGTTTTGTAAGTATGAAAACAATCTTCTGTGGCCATACCACCCTAAACACACCTAATCTTGTCTGATCTTGGAAACTAAACAGGGTTGGTGCTGGTTAGTACTTGTATGGGAGAATAATTCTTTTCCTCAAGGGAAAAAAAAACAATGTGAATGTGAATTAATTGTACAATTTTCTAATATTCTGATTTATAGACATATCAATATACATATTATAATATTTTAAGTTATCGTCCTAAAGTCTTATTAATCCTATATAAAGTAGTATTGGCAATGGTGAGTTTTTCTTGTAATGAGATGAGCTTTGATGATGGAAGTGCAAGGCCTTACTTGGGTTCCAGGCCTGTGTTCTCTCTGAGCTTGTTTCCTTAATCACCTCCATGGCTATTTGTGGCTTGAAAAGTTGGGTTAGATAATATTCCTAAGATGTCTCATGTAGACTGTAGTCTGAAATTTAATAGTATATTTAATATGGATTCTTCTCTGTTCTTTGCCCATCACATGCCCTCAGGAAGGGTGTAGGAGATGTTCTTAGCCCTGCGGTGGGGAATCTTTTAGTTAAAGAGCTAAATGGTAAATGGTTTGATCTTTTCAAACTATCCAGTCTCTGCACAGTTGTCTACTTTGCCCTTGTGCACAGTGGCCATGGCTGTATGGAAGTGGATTAGCTCGGCTCCTTCAAGGCACTGACAGTGAACTTCATGTGATCTCCATTTGTCAGGACACATTCTTCTTTTCTTTTTCCTTTTTTAAATTGAAGTTTTGCAAATTTCATACAATATATTTTATTGTATTTAGATCCCCTCACCTATTTGCATCCCTCCTTACTATACAATTCATATATCCTCTTACATATATATTAAGGCCCATAGAGTCAAATTTATGTCCCCAATTGCCCATCAGTGTGAATCTACCCACTGGAGTCTGGTTAATTTACCAAGAGCCACACCCTTGGAAGAGACTGACTCTCTTCCCAGAAGCCATTGGTTGCCAATAGTTCTTCAAATAGGATTGGTATTTCGTACCTACTTCCCCTTGTCTATGTCGAGATTTTGTCTGACTGGAGCTTACCTGGTGCTTGTCCATTGCTGTGAGTTCATATTAGTAACTTCCCAGCTGCCCCTCTGTGGTCATCCACCACCTCTGACTCTTACAGTATTCCACAATGAACCCTAAACCTTTAAGACCCTATTGCTGAAGACACTGCATACATGAGCTGTAGGAAAAAAAAAAAAGAAGAAGAAGAAATCAATCTGGTACTGACTTTAAAGCTTCATCTCTACTGGCTAGCTTTCATAATGCTGGAAGGTACTATGCATGCTACCAGGGGAGAAAATATCAACCTTACCTAGCTGTGAACCCTGTGTGCTTCAACAACTACGTGATATAACCTTTGGTGCAATAGTGGCATGAATATTATGGGGGTAACAAATCACTTTCTAACTGGTTTTAAGGACTGCTTCATAAGACAGAGCCCATACCTGACACTGACATCAGGCTTAGGAGCATGTGGTTAGACAGGCCACAGGCCATAGGGGAGGACCTAATACCTTTATTCTGCTAAGTGGTTATAGTATTACAGAGACTCTTAATGACTTATTGTTATACCCATACATTAGTGGATCTCTCAACTCTCACCAGAGAAGCTTCCTTATGCAGCAGATGGTGATTAACACAGAAACCTTCAACTGGCCAACATGCAGAGAATAAGAGACTGTAGGATTATCCCTGAATTGGACACCTACATTCTTTTTCTATTTTTATTTTTATTTTTTTGAGGCAGGTTGTCTCTGTAGTCCCTGGCCTGGAACTAGCTATGTAGACCAGGCTGACCCTGATCTCACAGAGCTCTGCTTGCCTCTGCTTCCTGAATGCTGAGAATGAAGGTGTGTACCACTACACCAGCCCCCATTTTTCTTTTTGAAAGGAAACATTCTTTAGCTCAAAGCTGTACAGAATAGGCAAATGCTGGATTTATTAGCTTCTGGCTTAGAACCCTTAGAGCAATTAGTTTTAGATTGATTTTTACAGTTTCACGGTGGAGTTTTCTGTTGGAGTTGTTTGGAAAACTTCCAAAAAGAGCAAACTATTCACCTCTCCAGTCTTACCTACAGACCTCCTATTTTATATGGCTGTATGTCTACAGCAGAATTCATGCAAACCTGGCCTTATAATGCTTCCTAGTGTTAAGTGAAGCAGCAGAGTTACTTACTACAGGCTCAGATAACACAGCACAACACTACCAGACTGGGGCAAGTTCCACATTTGTTTGGGTGTGCTTTTTCCTTATTGGGAATCCTGCTGCTCGTAGTAAACACCGTCCCACTACAGGAAGGATGGCTTGCTTTGCTGCAGTTTGGTGTATAGAACACATAAATGCCGGCTTGCTGCAAGGTGGAGTTACCACATCCAGGAAGTGGACAACAATCTCACTTCATGGGTCAAACTGTTTGACGGTGTTGTGTAACTCTTAATCCCTAATGATTTTTGTCTACTTGTTATACTGTTAGAGAAGGGTTGAACTTTCCATCAATACTAATGAATTAGCTAATTTTTGGCTGTTATTAGGTGCATACATGTTGTCTACTTTGGTGAATTGCTCCTTATCCTTTTAATTTATTTTTTATTATGACATGACCTTCTTTAGCTTGGTAAATAATTATTGTTTTAAATTATACTTTATCTGACATTGACATAGTTGTTCAATTTTATCTTGGAATAGCATATCTTTTTAAACCATTTCCTTTAGCAAATGTGTGTTTTTAGCTGAAATTGATTTTTTATTAGCAGTTTATAATTGGGTCTTTTTCATCTAATCGGATGGTGACTGCCTTCTAAGTAGATGTTGAGATGATGGTGTCTGATGTGACTGACTCTGTGCTTACTCCTTTTTTTTCTCTCATCTCTTTATTCATTGTTCGTTTTTTCTTCTTTCCGTCATTCCTTTGGAATTTTTTTTATGATTCTACTTAATCTGCTTTGTTCCCTATTAGCTTTATCTTCCTGACTTGTAATTTTAACTGATTTTGAATTTATCTGAGTGATACCATACCACTTTGTATGTAGTGTAAGAACATTTTAATAATACTTACGTTCCTCCTCACTAGCTTGGTGCTAATGCTTATATGTCACTTCACTCTGTGTAAAAACCCCATAAATACAAGGTTGCCATTGTTGCTTTAATCCATCAGTAATAATAATCTTTTTAGTTAAACTTCATTCCTTTGTGTGACGCCAGACTTTTGATATGCTTTTATTTTCTTGTGCCAGACTTCTTTCAGCATTTTTAATAATGCAGATATGAAGGTAGTGATTCTTTAAGTCTTGGTATGTCTGAGCAAAGTATTTCACGTTTCCTTCGAAAGACATTTTCACTGGCTGCGGTATTTGAGGGCTGCAGTGTCTTGCTTGTGCCTTGCTACCTTCCTGCTTACGTTCCTTCTGGCAGTGAATCTGCTCTAACTCTTGTGTTTGCTCTTCTGATATAGCCTGTCTTTTTCCCAGGAACACTGTAAGCTGTCCATAACAGCTTTCCTCTGTGTGGGTTTGGTGTCTTATTCTCAAAACCTGTCCAGTGTTTTGCATCTGTGCTAACATTTAGCTGTTATTTTTCAATATAGGCCTGATGTGATAGATGATTTGCCTCTGGCTCCCCAGAAAGACAGTTTTCAGATTGTTCAGTGCAACTGCAGTGTTCAGGAATGTGAATGCCATGTGCCAGTGCCAACAGCCAAACTCAACCACACTCTGCTTATGTATCTACAAATCACATCTGCTGGCATGATATTTCAGTCACCTCTGATGTCAGTGCAGCCCATGCTTGTTGGTAAGTTGCACTTAAAAAAAATGACAGTGGCACCAAAGATAACCACACAAAGGGGTTTAAAGGTTGCTGTGGGTGAAAGATTTTCACTGGCTTATATCATGCTGTCTGATACCGTAAATTGTGATAAATGTATTGTAGTATTCTAGGCAGCTTCTTGAAGGAGTTAACACCAATAAGTTTTTACCATTGTCATGGAAATGATTTTTTGAAGCAATTCTGGCCTCTTTAAACCCTGGGTTGTACTAATTGATAGGTATTTTTGGTAATCACCTTTTACATCTCGGATAACCATTTTCTGGAAATTATTAAAAGCTTGTTTTTTACCTGACTTGAGTCCTTCAGTAATGTTCCTTAGAGGTCCTGTGTGCAGGGACTTTTGTAAAGGCTGGACACACCATGAGGAGCGGGGCAGCAGCCCACTCAGAGCTGACCATAGCTGTGAGCTCAGTCAACAATAGACCAATAAACAGTCAAGCCTCCCACTGCACAGCCCGAGTACAAGACAGCCTCAAGTGGGAGGAGTACCCCATTTTCTTATGGTGGACATCCCCGAGCCTTCTTTGATAAACTCAAATATTTTGTTAATAAGTATGAAAAATGTAGAAAAGTATTAAAACATTGATTGACATAGCTTTATATACACATCATTGTACAGTGTGCTCAACTGCATTATATTATTTGAAAGTTTTATTATTTTCCATTTATATTTTTTGAAACAACTATACACAACTCTTTGTGTGTGTATGTGTGTGTGTGTGTGGAGGCCAGAGGTCAATGTTGATTTCTTCTATTGCTTTTATTTATTTACTTGTTTATTTATTTATTTATTTATTTATTACTATTTTGAGACAAGGTCTCTGATTGAACCTGGACCTCATGTCTTTGGCAAGACTAGCTGGTCAGTGAACTCCAGGGATCCTGGGGTCTCTTATGCTAGGATGACAGGCATGGATCATCAGGTTTTTATGTGATTGCTGGGGATCCAAACTCCTGTCCTCACAGGGCTAGCACTTTACCAGCTGAGCCAGCTCCCCAGCCATATGCAACTTCACATCCTTTCCTGTATCATTGATCTTTGCATCACTGGAATACTTTCCCATTTCTCTGTCACAATTTTTCATACAATTCTGATGTCGCTTCTTTTTAAAATATACTACTTTTGAACCAGTGTATAACAATTTTTTTTAAACATTAGGACTTCCAAGTAATTTGTTCTCCAGGCACATAGTTGTGACTTTTACAACACAATTATGATGACATCTGAGTAATTCAATTGTGAAATTATACCATAGAAAAAAGAGACAAAATATTTTTTTAATATCATATTTTTCTCTTTTCAAAACTAATTCTACCTGGTAATTTTCAAAAACGTTTGAATCAGCATTGTGTTGAATTTATTTTCAAAACAGAGTAGCTGAAGGAAAGTGCTATCATAGCATTTATTTTTAAAATTTCATTTACATTTTTTGTTTTATGCATATGAGTATACTGCCTGCGTGTGTGTAGGTGTACCTGTGTCATGCAATGCCTGTGGAGGCCAGAAGAGGGTGCTGGATGCCCTGAAACTGGAGTTAGGGATAGTTGTTTGCTGCCATGTGGTTGTTGGAAATTGAACCTGGGTCTTCTAGAAGAGCAGTCAGTGCTCTTAACAGCTGAGCCATCTCTCTAGACCCTTATTAGAGCATTTATACAAACTTAAAAACCCTTAATTTTCCCTTATGAACAGATAATTTTAGGGAAGAATTCTTTTTTTATACTTGTACATACATGATGATACTCAAAATGTATAGGTATCATGAAAGAACTAAAGCAGATGATGTGATAGAGTGTTAGATAGGAGCTATTATTTCTGCTATGGTGGTCAAAGACTTCTTTAGTATTGGAACTAAATGAAGAAGAGATATCCACATCATAATTCAGAGTCAAAAATGCTTCAAGCAAGAACACATGTACAAAACACCTTCGATATAATGAATGTGGTAATTTGAGGAACAAAGGAGGAAGCCCCTCTGTTTGGTGTTAGTGAGGCATGACTCATAGGGGATGAAGTCAGTTACTGAAGACCAGAACATCTCAGAGGCCAGGGCTATAATTTGAATTTTATTACAGTTGAACGGAAACATTTGAATTGGGGGGGTGATATGATCAGATGTATGTTTGTGCACTTAAAATTTATTCTACTGTATGGAAAATAAAATTCTAAAGGGGCAAAGGAGAGTTGGGTTGGTGGAAAAGGGAGTCTAGACAGGAGGCTGTTGGGATGAGTCCATTGGTTTAGAGCTGTAGCAGTGAAGACATGAACTGATGAGATTTGGATGTATTTGGCAGCTGGTGATGTCTGTACTTTCTAATGGGTTTGCTTGTAGGAGCCGAAGACCAAAGAGGAACTGAGGTTAACCTTTGATTTGCCCCTAAACATCTCAGTGAATAGAAGTAACAGTTCTGCAGAGAGGGACCCTGAAGATTAGGTGTGTGTGCACAAATCAAGGTCACCTTGTGTTTGAGATGTCTGTTAGAACTCCAACAGGTGTTGAATAGACAGTTGGATAGATGAGTCTAAAGTTCAGGGGAGATATGCATTTGAGAGTGAGCATAGAATTCTATAACATTACCCAGGAAGATTTCAGGAAGTAAAAGAGTGTGCTGTCTTAGAAACTATGTGGAAAAAAAATTCAAGGAGAGGAGTACGGACCGCTGAAAGGCAGAATAAGCTGACTTGGAAACTGACACTCAACTTGCTAAAGGGTCGTGGCCTTTGTCAGGGCGGACTTAGTGACTGCTGAGGCACTGACCAGAGTAGGTTGGTTAGGTAAAGGGAACAGCATGGAAGATGAGTCGTGCCAGCTCTTCTGAGGCTGTTGGCCCGAGAGAGTAGGTGGGTGGCAGCAAATCTGGAGCTGGGTATAGGAGAGTCAGTGACAATCTTACAGCTCTTAAATGAGCATATACTAACCATCATACAGGTAGGAAATGTGCAGTAGTTTTCAGTTATATACATGATCTCGCTGCTCTCTGGTGTTTTTGTTTTGTATTGTTATTGGTCCTGGGAACACAGTACAATTTGCACGTTTCTAGATGTTAGTGTTTAACCCTGCTTACAGTAACTTACATACCTTTCTGTTCGCTAATTTTAACAAATCAAGACACAAGTGTGAGGGCTGGAGACATGGCTCAGCAGTTAGGAACGCTTGCTGTTCTTCCAGAGGACCAGACTTCGATTCCCAGCACCTACATTAGGTGGCTCCCAACTGTCTATAACTCCAGCTCCAGGGGATTCAACCTGTCCTTTGGTCTTTGAAGGCACCTGCATGCACATGCTCATACCCACATGCAGACACATGTGCAAATAGAAAAGTAAATCCAAATACAGAATGCAAATTTGAGCGTAATAAGTTTTTTGAACTTAAGAACATTACTTGTATCCAGCGTTCTGCTGCAGTGCAGTTTTTAATGGCTGCTTGGATTTCTGTTACCATATGAACCATACCCTTTAATGTAAGATGTTTAAAGTTGTTTCTATACATGTTTAAAACATTTCCTTAGTGTTTGAAATATTCAAATACTTATATATGAAAATACATATCCATATGTTAACATGTACGCATATTTTCCAAATTCAGAAATCATTTACCTAATAAAACTTCCTGGTAAGCTAAGAAACTTATCCCTATTTGTAGAGACAGGTAAGGCCTGCTAATGGTACATTTATTACATGGGAATTCTGAGTTGAGTAGTTGTGTTTAGATTGTTATTATTTAAAAGGAATAGATATGCTGAATTTTGCATAGTTTCTATGCATTTTCCAAATAGTGTTTTGCACAATCCTGTTTTCCGCGTGGCCAGCTAAAGCAAGTGAGCTGACTGGGACTAGGGAGAGAGGTTCAGATAAGTTTGAGAATTACTGGCTAAATAGTTAGGCAGACTTTTTACAGTAGGAAACCACATTTATCAAAATGATCTCATTTACTTGTTTATAGCATTTACTACTCAGGGGAACGAAATGAAAACATGGGGATTGTTGTGGAAAGCACAGTGCGGGGGCAAGACCCCCCCACACCTCTGCTTTAACTCTGCCATTAGCCTTGAGTAAGGGAACTTTCTAAGCAGTTGAAAGGCAAGGCATGCTGACAATCCATTTCAGCTTCATTTTATTCAGATACGATTGCCATGAAAACTGCCTGACTTAAAAATATTTTTTCTTTCTCTTAAGTGAAACCTGATCCACCATTAGGTTTACATATGGAAATCACAGATGATGGTAATTTAAAAATTTCTTGGTACAGCCCAACACTGTTACCCTTTCCACTTCAATATCAAGTGAAATATTCAGAGAATTCTACAACAATTATGAGAGAAGTAAGTATATTTTGGTAAATCAAATGAAAAGTTAAGAAGCAAATAAAGACTCTGAAGTCCCCAAGAAATTACCCTTGCCTGCTGAATATGCATGTTCCTTCTAGAGTAGGACAAATTATACTGAGTATTATACATTACAGATAATTTTTACAGGTACACACAGGGAGTCCAGATACAGAAATGTTAACTCATAAGTGTTTTCATCTGTATACTGCTGATTTAACATTGCATCCTTATTTTCCATTGCTGAGTATGTGTTTACACAGAGTATGCGTTTGTACCAGAAAGTCAGCCAACATCCTTTCTCATTCATGTAGTAAGTATTTATTGAATGCCTGTTCGGAGCCAGGGGCTGTTCTAGATGCAGCAGGCTACCTTGGGATCCTAGAGCTGGGTAAGAGGACAATGAAGGTTTGTCTTAGTGAGTGGAGATTGGGGCAGGACTCATTGGGAGTGTGACATCTGAGCAAGGACTTCAAGGAGATGGCGTGTCTGGGGAACTGGATGCTAAGCAGAGATAACAGTGATGCAGAGGCTGGAGCAAGGCGACTGTGGCAGTAGATGGTACCAGAGACCTTGACAAGTGGGGAGGAGGAGGTCAGGAATGACTTCTGGGTCATGTGAATACTTTCATACTACATATGAATCTAAATGCTATGTTGTCAAGGTAAAACTCAGTTTTTTAGAACTGGGCTATTTTTTTTAAGGCCTTGTTTTCACAGAGAGCACGTTGAGAAACCTCAGGGTCACATATGTAAAAGCAGAGTTAAGGCTGCTATAAAATGCTTTATCATTTGTAAGCATTTTAAATATGAAAAGCCTGATACTATTTAACGTATTCCTAGTGCTTCTTAGTGTTTTTAATCTATGACCCTCTTTCTTCACCCCACAGTATTAGAGTCTAGAAAATTTGACCACCTTAGAGTACATTTTTGGAAACTGAATGCATTCCATAAGCAGATCTTAGCTAGACTTTGATTTTTGCAGAATTTGCCTTATGTGTTTTTTTTTCTCTCTAGTTGGAAACTGCCCTAGTTAGCTTTCTATTGCTGTAGGGAACACCATAACCAAAAGCAACTTGGGGAGTAAAGAGTTTGTTTCAGCTTACTGGTTATAGTCCATCATCAAGGGAATCCAGGGCTAGAGCTCCACACAGGGACCTGGAGGTAGGAACTGAAGCAGAGACCATGGAGGAACGCTGCTCACTGGCTTGCTCAGCTACCTTTTTTATACAGCCCAAGCCCACCTGCCTAGGGATGGCACTGCCCACAGTGGGCTAGGCCTTCCTGTATCAACCAGCAATTAAGGAAACACCTAACAGACACGGCCACAGGCCAGTCTGATCTGGGAAATTCTTCAGTTGAGGATCCCTCTTCCTCGGTGACTGTAGTTTGTGTCAAATTAATAAAAACTAAGCAGCACATAAATTGTTGACTCATGGCCTGCAGTTCACCATCAAGGTCAAGGTTTTAAAATCGTTCATGCCTTCCTTCTGTGCAGCTCTTCACTAGGATGCCTCCTTTCCTCTAGCCCCCTGCATGCTGTTTTCTACCAGGTGTGTGACAAATGGCAGCAGTGGCTTCGAGCATCCCAATGGCTTTTGCTGAATTTCTTGGAAATGCTAAAGACCACATGTGCATCGTTGCTTAGGTAGCAGTGTCTTCAGTTGTCATGATGGTTTTTTGATCTGTAGGCTGTTTGAAATTTCACGGACAGATGCACAAACACTCACTTATTCAGATTATTCAGTCTTTGTTTCTATTTTCATTCTGTAGCCAGATAACTCATCTGTATAATTTTAATTCTTTGAAATGCATTGAGGTTTATTTATAATCAATTTCGGTAAATGTTTTGCATTGACTTGGCGCTCTGGTGTTTTAACAGGCTGATGAAATCGTCTCAGCTACATCCCTGCTAGTGGACAGTGTGCTTCCTGGGACTTCGTATGAGGTTCGGGCCAGGGGCAAGAGACTGGACGGCCCAGGAGTCTGGAGTGACTGGAGTTCCCCTCGTGTCTTTACCACACAAGGTAGGCCTTGTAATAGTTTCTCTGGGAATAAACCTCCAGATTGTGCCTTGGGTATATGATAGACATCTTTTATGTTCTTCCCCTAAAGGGGGCACAATATTAACATATTCCTAAAAATTTTTTTGAGACAAGGTCTTGCTACATAGCCCATGCTGACTTTGAACTTACAATCTTCCTGTCTCATAATGTCTTGACTTCTGGGATCACAGACATAACCACTATGTCAAGTTATATTTTTTTTAAATACTCCTAGGCTGGAGAGATTGCTCAGTGGTTAAGAGTATATATTACTCTTAACCGAGGACCCCAGTTTGGTTCCCAGAACTGATGTGGGACAACTCACAACTGCCCATAAGTCCAGTTCTAAGGGATCTGATGCCTCCTATTGGCCTCCATGGGTACCTGCACTCACCTGTACCATTCCTACACAGGAGCACATATATACACATAATTAAAAATAAAATAAAAGCTGGGCATGGTGGCAAACGTCTTTAATCCCAGCACTTGGGAGGCAGAAGTAGGCAGATCTCTGTGAGTTCAAGGCCAGCCTGGTCTCCAAAGTGAATCCAGGACAGCTGGGGCTACGGTGAGATCCTGTCTCAAAAAGACCAAAAAAAAAATTTTTTTTTGAAAGATAAATTCTGAACAGGCTAGCACACTAATGAATTTTTTTTCAGAATTCCTATTTATGTGCTTGCAAAACAATTTTTATTGAATTATTTTTAATATGAAAAAGATAAAAATTTAGGCTGGGCATAGTGGCTTATGCCTATGATTTCCAGCACCCTGGAGCACGAAGCAGGAAGATCATGCATTTGAGGCCAAACTTGGCTGCATAGTGAGAGCTGTTCCCTCAAAAAGATAAACAGTTAATGTAAAATTCACTTCAAGAACTCCTAGCATAGCCCTCGTATTGTTAATACTTTAATTTACATTTTAAATCCAAGTGTATCCATTTAAAATAAAAATAAACCGTTAAATGCTTGCTTTTAGAGTTGTGTGTATCTATGAGTGTGTTTGTGTATATTGTTGGGGAACCCTGCTGTTAAGGTTGGCTCCTTTCTCAGCAGGGTCTTCCTGCCTGACTTACCTGGAAAGTGCCTCCAAGC